ATCCCCCAGCACCCCCAAGCTGCTGGGGCATGGCTGTATGTCAAGGGCACGAGGCAATTTGGGGAGCCTGTGCCTTCCTGCTGTGCTAGGCCATAGGAAGCCAGAAACGGAGAACAGAGTCCCTCATCTGCTGTTGAACAGGCACAAAGGGAAGCAAGAAACACAGATTTCCTCCAAGCCACATCCCAGCCTTACACAGCAGTAAGCCTGTGGCTCAGTGGCCATGCTGAGCTAGAGCTTAAGGTTGTCCCAGCAAGGCTGAGCAGAGGTCGGAGCCTGGGGATGTTCAATTAAAGCTGCTTAGAAAAGAAATCCAACTTCCCATATGCCTCTCTGGAGACAAAACAGCTGCAAAGCTGTGTGCAGATGGGGTGCCAGGTTGGGGGCTGAGCACTGCAGACAAAGGTGACTCTGGCTCAGCTGTTCCAGCTGTGTCTGATGCACAGGGATTGAGGTTGCCTTTGGTGTTTCCTTATGGAAAGTTGGACATTTGGCTCTGCAGAAATCCCCACAGGAGCTCAGACAGCAGCACAGCAGCCAGCCCTGCAACACAGTGTCCTCCAGGCTATGCACAGTCCCAAGGCTCCCTCTGACCCTGATAAACTGAGGAGCCAGCAATGGTGGTGGCAGCTCTGGGATGCCTTGGGTGTTCATCTCCATGAGGACACCAGACCTGGACAGTAGCACTGGGTACCATGGGAAGGCAACAAGCCATCTCACCTCCACTGGTGGCCCTGGCACAGCTTCAGCCCATCCTGGCACAGCTTCAGCCCATCCTGTTGGAGATACCCCAGTGCATTCCCACAGACAAGGAACTGTTCCCCAACCAGCAGCTTTGCAAGGAGGAATTTCCCTCATCAAAGGAACAGAGGATTCAACCATTCCATGGTGAAGGCGTTGGACAGGAGGTTAGCCCTCGTGTTTCTGTGACACATGTGCCATCTCACTCACAGAGCTGCCCAGAATAGTGACACTATCTGGTTCCAGCTGCCCAGCCCCTTTTGCGATTACAAAGAGTAAATTCCAACATCAGCCCAACCTAACTCGGCCTTCCTTTATCCCCCTCCCTTTTCTTTCCTATAATTCAGGTTTGTCTCTTAGAAAAGAGAGGGAGATAATGTCTGCAGAGCACTTAATCTTCTGCCCAAAGAATAGCAGAGAGCAAATTAGGATCTACTCCAATTAATTTGCCTTGATGGGCAAAATCTGGAGAGCGGCCATATCTGAGAATTAAGAACAAAAGCAGGGAGTCTAAAGTAGGTCGCAGGAGTTTCGTAACCAGAATGATGGGTTTTCCCAGCACGCCACGTGCTCAAGAGGCTCCTGGTGCTGGGAGCCACCGGTCCCTTTCCCCCCCGTGCAGCAACCACGGGTTTCAGCCTGGGCAGTTGATTTAAGATGCTGGCCAGCATGCAGGGAGCCAGGAACGAGGACCTTGACCCTTCTCATGGCAGGACACGGCTGCAGGACTGGCACAAACCCTTGCCACAGACCCTGAACCCAATGGGAGGACAGACACTTGTCCCAGTTTTGGAGCACCCAAATTGCTTTCCTGGCAGTTGGTGTGCCACTCCTTGCTGCCACCCTCAGCCTTGCAGGCACCCTCTTGAAGGATGATTAGGGATGACACAGAGATAGTGAGTTCAGGGCAATGCTTTGCTATGAGCCCTTGTACCATGGGGGTTACCAAGCAGTGGTGACCCTTAGGGCCATCCTAGCCCAGCATTCCTAAATCCCAGCCCTGGCTCTCTGGAACCATCAGTGTGTGCAGGCTGTGCAGCAACATATTCTGGTGTCACATGTGGCAACACCTACCATGCGTATACCTTCCAGGACACACATGGTAGCATAACCAAGGGTGCAGGCCATTTGTGGTGATATGTGCTAGTGTGCAGGACACTGATGACATAGCCAGGGGTGTAGGATACATGCAGTGACATATGCCAGCAACCCTGAGGGGAAGGACTTGGGGGTGCTGGAAGATAAGAAGCTCCCCATGACCCGGCTTCAGTGTGTGCTTGAGTCCAGAACAGCCCCCGTGTGCTGGGCTGCATCCCCAGAGTATGAGCAACAGGTTAGGAAGGGGATTCTGTCACTCTGCTGTGCTCTGGGGAGACACCCCCTGCAGTCCTGTGTCCACCTGTGGGGCAGCAACACAAGAGGGACATGGAGCTGTTAGAACAAGTCCAGAGGAGGCCATGGAGATGCTGTGAGGGCTGGAGCAGCTCTGCTCTGGAGACAGGCTGAGAGAGCTGGGCTGGTTCAGACTGGAGAAGAGAAGGCTCCTTAAGGGGGGACCTTAGAGCAGCTCCAGTGCCTAAAGGGGATACAAGAAACCTGGAGAGGGGCTTTGGACAAGGGCCTGTAGGGACAGGACAAGGGGGAATGGCTTTAACCTGACAGAGGGGAGACTGAGATGAGATCTTGGGAAGAAGTTCTTCCCTGTGAGGGTGCTGAGGCCCTGGCACAGGTTGCCCAGAGAAGCTGTGGCTGCCCCATCCCTGGCAGTGTTCAAGGCCAGGTTGGATGGGGCTTGGAGCAACGTGGTCTAGTGGAAGGTGTCCCTGCCTGTGGCAGGGGGTCGGAACTGGATGAGCTTTAAGGTCCCTTCCCACTTAAATCAGTGTTTGATTCCATGACTATATGTGCAGCCCATCTTTCTGCCTGCAGGACCAAACACACTGAGCATTTGGTGGGCATCTGTGGGTCTTCCCAGGCACCCACAAACTCCTGGCTGGATCAAAGTTGCGCAGTTTGGTGCACGTTGGTGTCACCATCACTTTGGTGTCTCTCCAGCTCCCTGGCCACCTCGTGCCACCCCACAGCAGGATGACAGGGAGCATCAGGACAAAAGGGAGCAGCAGGACAGTGGGGAGCAGCAGGATGATGGGGAGCAGTGATCCCCTGCTCTCTGCCCTGTGGAGCTGCCAGCAGGGTGCCGGGCACCATGCGTTTGTGGCCGGTGCCCATCTGGGTTTATCCTCTTTAGCCATCCTGCGGGGATCTGGCACTAATTCACCCTTAAATACAGGATTGTCAGGAACTGGGAAGGAAAGACTTGGAGGATTATCCATCCTCCCAGTGCTGGCATTTAACATGGGGGGGAGCAGCAGCTGCTGGATGAGGGGAGCTGGGGTGGGGGTTTGCCTTGTCCCATGGGGCACCATCCCCCAGGCTCAGTGTTGTCCTTCCATAGCAAAGACTGCCAGAAGCATGGCCCCACTCCTCCCCTGCAATGTTTTGTGACACTCCCCCCAGCCAGCTCAAGGCTGGTTAATGAAATAAATAACATGAAATAAATACAGGGTCCCTCCTTAAAGCTGAGGGAGCAGCAGCAACTGCTCAGCCCCCCAGGATGTACCATGACACAACAATCCAGGCAGCATTTCCCAGACTCAGAGGCTGTCAGGGGACCAAGGTGACATCCCAGAGCTTGGGGATCACACAGGTAAGCGACCCGACCTCGCAGGAAGAGGTTCTGCAATGAAACAAACAGTAATTTTCACTGGATCAAAGAGGACAGTGATAATTGAGCTTCTCACTCACAGGCTGACAGCTTTTAGACACGAGCCAGTGCACAAAGGCTTTCCCAGATCAACACCCTGACTGTGTCCCATGTCTGGGCATGAGGATGTTTTTGGAACAGCCTTGATGTCACCCTGGGAATCAAAGGAATAGCAGCAACTTGCTACTCACAGCACGTTGCTGCCTTCCTCATCATCCTGCTAGCAGCTGAGCCTTGTGTGGGCCATGGCACGGTGGGCTCATGTTGGCTGGAGGATTTTGGCAGGCAGGGTGCTGTTGCCTCTGCCAAGCAGGATGGTTTTCCCACGTGCCGGCCAGAGCTGCCACCACCACCGACGGGAGCTGTTGATCTGTGCACCGGATGGGGTGGCCATTGGCAATTTTAATGTTGCTTTATGTGGCAGGCATGGGCAGGTGGCTGTGCCCTGAAGTGGGGTCACTTCACCAATCCCAGTCCAGGGGAACTGGTTTTCCATGACGGGTTTTAGTATGGTAGGGAAAAAAAATATGTGAAATATGCCAGCACCAGGGATGGGAATAACAGAACCTGCTACTGAGAGACACAAGTTAAACTGCAGCACATCTTCTTGGTTTAACTTCAGCAAGTCCTCATAGCAGCCTTCCAGTGTTTGGAGGGACCTACAGAGATGCTGGAGAGGGACTCTTGATCAGGGGCTGTAGCGACAGGACAAGGGGTAATGGGTTTAAACTTAAACAGGGGAGATTCAGGTTGGATATAATGAAGAAATTCTTCCCTGTGAGGGTGGTGAGGCCCTGGCACAGGTTGCCCAGAGAAGCTGTGGCTGCCCCATCTCTGGCAGTGTTCAAGGCCAGGCTGGACACAGGGGCTTGGAGCAACCTGGTCTAATGGAAGGTGGCCTTGACTGTGGCAGGGGGTTGGAACTGGATGAGATTTAAGGTCCCTCCCAAATGAGTCTGTGATTTTATGATTCTAAATCCCACTTGGACCTGGATATGAGCTCCACTTCCCTGTTTTTTTTTCACCTGTATCATCTTGGCTTAAACGAAACCCCTTTTTTCCCTTCAAATCCCAGTTTCCTTTGTGACCATTCACAGGACTGAACATAGACCAAAATAAAAGGATGAAAAAAGGATTTCTTTCAGAAAATTGCCTGGTGCTGCTGGAGCTGCCCATCAGAGTACAGGCTAGCGGCTGCCGGAAGGAAAAAAGAGATGCAGTTTGTGCTTTCCCTTTAAAACAAAGAAAACACTTGACCCAGCTCTAAGGGAATATCTTTTATGCCTGCCCCTGAAAAGCACCTCTCAGGGAACAAGGGGTGATGGGAATCCCTGGTACACCCCTCCCAAGGCTATCACAGTCCTGTGGGCTCCCAGCATGTGGGGACAGAGCCACAGCCCCACCATGACCCTCCCTGGGGAGCTGGTCCAGGGAGCAAACCTGGAGCTTGGGAAGGGCATGAGGGGCATCCCTAGTGAGAGGCAAAGAGGAGAAATGTAAAAGCATCTTTTAATATAAATATAAATCTGTCTGAAGGGCTGCTGGAGAAGCCCATGCCCTGTGAGGGATGCCTGGGGGTAAGGTGGGCTCTGCGGGGACCGCAGCCAGCACCAGGAGGACCGACACAGGATGTCCCTGGCACCAGGATGAGCACAGGGCTAGAGCTGGGGCACCAGCAGCAGCAGGACCACCTGGGCCAGGAATGGGGGGCAGAGGGTGGTGCCCAAGCCCTGCAGGGTGGCCTGGTTGGTCTCGGCAGCTGGTGAGCTGCGGGTGCTGGCCAGGCGTCCCCGGGCACTGCACAGCTCCTGCAGGTTCACCTGGAACTGGTTCTTGCGGGATTCCTGGCGCAGAGACTCCCAGATGGCAGCTGCTTCCTCAGGGCAGCTCAACAGCACCTCGCTGGCACAAGTGTGGAAGTCATCCCAGGACCTGGGGAGATGGGCAGGAGTTGGGGCCACCTCTGGTGGCCAGTCACCATCTGGGTGACCGGATGATGATGCTGGGTCACCATCCCAGCAGCTCTCACAGGGACTGGGGCACTCACTTGCAGATGTTGTCCAACTCCTGCACCTCCTCAGCACCCTCATCCTGCTGGCGCTGCACACTCTGGACCATGCTATCCCCCAGGCTGATGAGGCAGCTGGCAAAGCCCTTGTAGATGGTGTCGCACATCCTAGCCTTGCTCAGGGGCTCCTGGCTCACAGCTGCGGGTGAGAGAAAGAGGCAGAGCTCAGCCCTTACAGATCCCCCGACAGTTATCACCTGCTGTGGGTGTCACTGGGCAGCAGTGACACCATCCTCAGAGTGACCATAGCTCCTGCCCAGGAGCCCGGCAGGGAACAAGGTGATGACCCCACAAGCGATGCTGCCATTCACCACAGGGGGAGAGTGGGAGCCAGCTGCTTTGCCCCAGCCTCCCTGGAGCCATCTGTCCCTGGCCTGATCCCCCACCAGCAAAGATTAATTTGTGACTATAGCAGGGAAAAAAACAAGGCTCAGCAAGCTGGACTCCCTGCTTATGCTTGTGTGGGAGAGAAGGGGACAGGGAAGGATAAAGAGAAGGGGAAGGAGTGGGGGAACAGAGCCAGAGGAGAAGGACAAAGGGAAGAGGAACAAAGGCAGCTCCTTCTGCTTCAATCTGAGAAGCATCAATTCCCTGCTCTGCTCCTCAAAGGATTCACCCCTGGGACTGGACAAATCCCAGTGCCAACAACCTGGCAACGCCTGCGAGTGCACCCACAGCTGGGGGGAGGCCCAAAGAGCCGCATGGGGGCTGGTCACAGCAAAACGCCCAGGGCCCGGTTCCCGAGGCCAAGCCACGGGACTTGTAAACCGCTGGGAAGTGCCACGGGCACGCACCGGTTGGTCTCTGCATTGAGGGCGCTAAGAAGGGGTGAGGAGTCTCGGAGGAATCCCCTGTGGGGAGGTGACCCAGAAGTGGACAGAGTTGCGCCGTGGCTGCTGAGGCGCCCAGGGTGGCTCCAGGGAGCCACATGCCGTGCTGCTGGTATCCCATGAAAGAAGGCCCCATGCTGCGAGCAACACCGAGGGTGAGCCTCAAACCTCAGCCCATCACAGAGCACAGGAGGTGCTCACGATGAGAAACCTTCTGAGCACAGCTGAGTGTCAGCCTCACACCAGGTACATGGGTCACACGTAGCACAGGTATTGATTGTGGGATCTCTTGCTCCTCTTTCGACCTTCCCTCAGTAGGAAGCTGGGCAGGGCAGGGCACGCAAAGGAGAAACCAGGAGAGCAAATCACCTCTGTTAAACCCGTGCAAAACCTTGTAGGAAACCTGCTTCCAGCTCCGTGAACGAGAGAATCACAAGCGGAACACACGGGTGGAGTTTTCCTTGGGGTGCTGCAGAGCATCGCTGAGTCCCAAGCGAGCACCAGCACAGCCAGCCCGCTTCTGGAGGAAAGAGCTTCCATCGTCCCCCCACCGAGCCCTAAAAACGCCCCGCGCTTGGTCCTGGCCCTGATTCTCCGGGCCGGGATCCCCAGAACTCTGCATCTCTCTTCGGAACAGGGCTGCCACCTGGCACCGCTTGCCCGGAGCCGGACGGTGCCTCCACGGGCTCCGGGAGGAGCCGGAGAGCGCGGCGGGATGCGCTGGAGGTGCAGGATGTGCCGCAAGTCACACGCCGGCTGGAGGCGGGAGGGCAGGGAGAGCCCGGCACCGCTGAGCAGCGGGACACCGGCAGCGCAGCGAAGCCGCCGTCCCCCTTGCCCGGCACCGGGGGACGAGGCGCGGTGGGTAGCGGAGCCTCGGGGCAATCGGTCGGCCCGCCCCGCGCAGGCGCGATCCCAACCCCCGCCCCGCTCCCCCCACTCTGTCCGGTCCGCAGCCGCCGGCGGCACTCACCGAGGTGCAGGAGCAGCAGCGGGCACAGGGCCCGCAGCAGCCGCCAGCAGCCGCCGCCCATGGTGCGGTCCCCGCCGCGTGCTCCCCGCTCCGCCGCCACCAGCAGCCCCGGACCCGCCTCCCGCCCTCGGCCCCACCCCGCGGCCCTCCCTCGGCGGAGAACCAGGGTCCCGGAGAGAGGAGCCGCGTAAGCCGGGTGTGCGGAGCACGTCCCTCTCAGATCCACCTCCTGGCAACGCCTGCGAGTGCACCCACAGCTGGAGGGAGGCCCAAAGAGCCGCATGGGGGCTGGTCACAGCAAAACGCCCAGGGCCCGGTTCCCGAGGCCAAGCCACGGGACTTGTAAACCGCTGGGAAGTGCCACGGGCACGCACCGGTTGGTCTCTGCATTGAGGGCGCTAAGAAGGGGTGAGGAGTCTCGGAGGAATCCCCTGCGGGGAGGTGACCCAGAAGTGGACAGAGTTGCGCCGTGGCTGCTGAGGCGCCCAGGGTGGCTCCAGGGAGCCACATGCCGTGCGGCTGGTATCCCATGAAAGAAGGCCCCATGCTGTGAGCAACACCGAGGGTGAGCCTCAAACCTCAGCCCATCACAGAGCACAGGAGGTGCTCACGATGAGAAACCTTCTGAGCACAGCTGAGTGTCAGCCTCACACCAGGTACATGGGTCACACGTACCACAGGTATCGACTGTGGGATCTCTTGCTCCTCTTTCGACCCAGTGAGAGAAGCACATCTCCAAACCAGCCCAGGGACACAGCAGCTGGTAGGAGCAGCAGATGTGGGCTCTTGGCTGGTTGGTCCCTGCTTCAGGCTGGGCTTTGGCCTCCCATGCTCAAGCCGTCCCCTTTGCCCAGTTTCCCCTGTAAGAAGCTGGGCAGGGCAGGGCAAGGCAGGCAAGGAAGGAGAAAGCAAAGAAGGGCAAAGCACCTCTGCTACCACTCTGCAAAACCTTGTAGGAAACCTGCTCCTGGCTCCGTCAAAGAGAGAGTCGCAAGCAGAACTCACAGGTGTTTTCCTTAGGTGCTACAGAGCATCACTGGCTCCCAAGCCACCTCTGACTGACACACCCCTCAAACTTAACCAGAGACCATGGGGAAGATCTAAGAACAGACTCACACTGCTGGCAGAAAGAAAGGGTACACACAGCTTCTCAGCTCAGGTGCCAGTCCAGGCTCAAGCACATGCCTCAGCCCATCCACTCCTCCCTCCACAGTGCAACAGAAGCAGATCCCCACTTGACGATTTTTCCTCAAAAAGGTGTTTATTGAACTGTTTTTAATGTTATTTCAAGAAAAAAGAAATCCAAAACTTAGGTAACAAGAAAACCCCTGGTGTATACCCATAACTGATGAATGTGAACATCTGCTCCAAAACAATAGTAGCCCAGGGACTTGTGCAGCTTCCTGCTGCTGGACTCTCCCAACACAGAGGATCTCCAGCACACACAGATGCAGCCCCAGCCCTGCCTGCGCTACAGAACTGGGGTTAATAAAAGTCGTGTGTGCTCTGCTGATGTCCTCTCAGCTACTCACCCCACCAGGGAGCAGGAGTTTTGAATCCCCAACTAAAATATAGGTATAAGTTTCTGGTCAATGAGGCGCTTAGATCCCCAGCTGTCCCTTCACTCAGGGCTCAGCATTTGCCTCCTTTCTCCTGCACTCATGGGAGCAGATTCCAAACTAAAGGGATAAGAAAACCACCAGCTCCTGCTAAATGCAGCTTAGGCTGCCAGGCAGGCCGCAGGGATGGATGGACAGGTGAAGAACAGACTTAAAAAGAGGCTATTTAGGAAAAATAAGCCAAGTGAGCTTTCAGTAACTATTTGGAACTATACAGAGATGGCATTTGCCTTAGAGACATCACACATGTTGATAGATTTCCTGGCAAGAGCTCTTAACATAACCCATACGTGGTTAGTGACTACTGGACCTGCTCCAGAGCGAGCAGGCCCTGGAGCATCATTGTGAGGCGACGGGCAGGCCTGCTCAGCGAGTTGTGGGGCTCCACTTGCAGAAACTGGAAGAGCTTCTGCCGTACCTGGTTCATGACTGACCCCATGTGGTCTCGGGTGATGGGGTCACTGTGATCCAGGTGCATCACTGCCTCCTCCAAGTAACTGAAGGAGAGAGACGAGGGTGAGAACCAAACCCAGCACATGATCCCAATCCGATTTGGTTCATTTTAGGGCAGAAGTTGCACAATTTTGCTCACCCACTCACCCAAGCTCAGTGCAGCATGTTCACCCATCAGAAAAGAAATGTTCCTGACTCACAGCAGAGTCTACCTATCTCTTCTTCAACTCGTAAGGGCAGCCTATAGCTTCCAGCCTGCAGTATGTGCCAGATAACCTAGCTGCCTGTGCTGAAGCCAGCACACTGACTAGCAAGTCAGAGCTCCCTGCAGTGCAGGAGGTGGCACCTGATCAAAAATTTGTAGGCATTTTCTTTGGTGCCTTTTTAGCACAAGCAGAACTAGTCACTCATTAATGACATCCTCTGTTGCCCAGAGTGGCTGCCCCATCCCTAGCAATATTGAAGGCCAGGTTGGAGGGGGCTTGGAGCAACCTGGTCTAGCGGAAGGTGTCCCTGCCCATGGCAGGGGGTTGGAACTGGATGAGCTTTAAGGTCCCTTCCAACCCAAACCAGCCTGGGATTAGACAGTAAAAATCCTCAGCAGTGAGTCTTGGTTTATGTAGGGATATATTTAAGGTCTTCTTCCAATATGTTATGCAGGAAGGGTGTGGGGAAGAAGAAATTTTACCAACTAGCTGCTCTGAACTTCCAACAAGCCATAAACATTCAAACCACAGCCTAAGCACAAGGCAATGCAGTCACTTGAACAGGTCTGCGCTAAGTGATCAGCTCAAACTTTACAGCAGCAGCTCATCTGTAACTTCAAGCTCTTTTTCAGTTTTTCTAACTTGCTTTATTCCTATTGTAAACCAAGTTAGAAACTTAAGTCATTTTTTCCATATAAGCCATGGTCAAAATCTGCAGGTATTTTAACAAGTTAGGGTGTTTTAGGTAACAGAGGTTTGACTCATTCACTAAAAGAGTTCATGGCAAGCATCAGCAGAGCCACTGCTTTGTCACACAAGCTTTGTTTAAAGCACATAACAGACATTACTGCCAGTAGCTCCTGCTGCCACCTCCCACAGAATGTGTCCGTCAGTCACGGCAAGAAATTGGCAACACAAAGCTCAGCAACACTGTAAGAATTAAGGACAGAGCAAAGTTGCTCTGGATACAAAACTACCTAGGAAACATAGTACCGTCCCTCCTTTTGCCTCCACAGTGGAACTGCTCCTTGGTAAAAGTGGATTACTGCACAGACTGCAAATATTCACAGACTACAATGCAGGAGGTAACAACACCTACAGCTGGGTACCCCTTCCACTAACTATTGGGTAGCAAAGCTCTCTATGGCAATGACTCCAGCTTTTCCCAAGTCACTATTGGTTGTTCACAAGCCAGTAACAAGCTACAGAAGCTCCAGCTTTCATCAAAGCACCACCTTTCCCTTTCAGACAGTGAATTAAAAGCCAGAGCCAGAAACGGTCTGCACAGGTTCAGACCTGGCACCCTGATCATACTCACTTCAACTTCAGTTCCGTACGAGTACCCAAATCAGAGGAGAGCTGCTGAATGAGAGAGAGCAGCACAGGCTGGGTGAGTGGGCATGGATGCTGCCCAAATACTTGCTCAGTATCCACAGTCTCACAGACGTACAGAACCAGATTGAGATCAGCTGCTGTTAGAGCCTGCAAGGAAAACACAGCTAGAAATACAGAGGAAACAGCAGGCACACGAGATACACAGAACAGAGAAGAGACAGCCCTCTGCTTTGGGGCAGTTCAAAGGCTTGCCAGCTTCTTCTAGGAGAATTCTCTGCGAACCCTGCTGTACATGGAAGCAGGAGTGTGTTCAGGCTCTCAGGGGACCCCTGTGTCTGTGCTAAGCTGAGCAGACTACAGCCACCCAGAGGGGAGCAAGTTACAGTTAGCAGCACTGAACAGGGCCATGTTTGCATTCCCTGCCAGCCCATTTTGCCATTATTTCCAGAGGAGTTTGTCCACAACAGCTCAAACAGATCTGCCTACATATTCAAAGGCAAAGGCAAGGTGAGGTCTCAGATGGCAGATCTGCCTGGAGAAGCTTATGAAGCTGCTGCTCTTCAGGGGTGCACCACGTGCCACTGCTGATGAAAAAAACTCTGGCTTACTGGAGCACTGACACCGTCCTAACAGGGCATAGGCAGAGCAGAAAAACTTAACTGCCGACAAATCACAGAATCTGCATGGCTCTGGCTTGATCTGCATAAGAGTGCAACCACACCCCCCAAACAGTCTTTTGCCATGGGTCTTTTCAGGCAACTCCTGTATAAATTGGTGTGGGATTATGTTTCCACCTCAAGGAGCCCTTTCCCCCGACCACCATTCCCCAGCAAGCAGCAATGCCTACTGCCAGACAGCCTATGTACCTGCTGGAAGGCTTGGTTGAGGCGTCCCTGCTGGAGCAGCTGGAGAATGTGAGTTTGCTGAGACTGGAAATCTAAGTGAGTGGAGGGGATTGGAGTGCCAGCCGCCGAGCGCATTGCCTGGACGATGCTCGAGGTGACTGCTGCTTGCTGCTCCTTCATAGCCAGGCTCACTTCTTCTTTAATGACTCGTTGTACTTGAGACAAAGTAGACTCCTGCATGCTAAAAAAAACCCAAAAAACAAAAAACAAAGGTATTTCCGAAAACAAAGAACTGAGAGACAACACTGTGCAAGGCTTGTCCTGGTGAGAAAGCACCGGCTTGCTTATATATTGTAGAATGGCTCCCAAAGAGTTAATAAAAGTGACTCTGAGGCACAGGCATTGGAACCATGCTGCCAAGGTAGCTCTGTGACCAACAATACAATGGCCCAGGCTGCATGTGGAAGATGCTGGGATTCTGCGTGGGAAACCGATGTTACAGGGAAGTAAGTTTTTCATTATACAGCCACCTTTAATGGCTCTGGGTTACAAACAAGGCTAAGCTACTAAGTTCACCCCCAAACGGGCTCAGTGTTCCACATCAGATCTGTTACATGCAGCTTCCTCACCTGCAGATGACACCTTTAGAATGAGAAAAC